ACTTTCTATCTGGTCAGGATCTCGAAATTTTCAATGTTGTAACCAATTAAGTCAAATCCCACGTAGTACGGACACCGTTTACGCGGTTTGCATTCACATTTTCTCTATTATCCGCATTTTTGGGGGTTAACTGTGATAAAAGTTCAGCTTGTTTAGTTAAAAACAAGTTTTTTTAGGAATACTCGTAGATTTCAGATCGATTGGTAACTTAGCAACAAAATGGCAATGGAAAACTCATGTGTGTTGTACAAAGTACAACAGCGCGAGTAACGGAGGGTTAATGTAAAATAATTAGTAAAATCTATATTTTCCGTGGGTGGACTCAAGTATTCCAATGTTTTCACGTACATTTCTCATCAAATTTGATATGGCACATAAAACTAGGCCACTTCATGAGAACTATTTTATAATTTTGGAAATTCGGCGGGATTTTTATACGATTTGTTTTTATTTTAATTATTTTGTTAAGATCGAATGGTATTTATGAATCCTTTTTTATCTTGATTGTTGTTTTTCTAGTGAACTTAGCAAGCAGCTAGGGTAAATGGTTTGGATAATGGTTTTAATTGTTACCAAATAGCTTTTATTGTAGCTTAAATACGGTTTTAAAATGGATCTCAATGCGTTTATCGTACAACCATTTTGCAGTGAATCAATCTTGAAGAGCTTCGAAAACATACCCTTCAGAACCTTCTCCAGGGTGGGCCAACTAGACTGATTCTAGCATCAATGAGGTTTTGGTGGATGCATCAGTGGCAAAGCAGTCTTGACCAGGGTTTTATGAATATTGTTTTATAGTAATTTTGTAGTATTTCATAAAACTTAAAATGTTACTTGGGTAATACACTGAAAATATGGGGCGCTTACTGGAAGCTTCAAGATCCTCAAATCGGTTCTCTTAACAGCCGAAAAACTTTTATGAAGTCCCTAGAATTTTAGAGCACATCATAGGTGTTAAGCGAACTTGATAAATATAGAAAAACAACAAGGGATTGTGCAAATTTTTAACAAGTTCTAAGCACCTCACAAAAGCTAGATCTAGAGATCTTTGGGGAATTTCCGATCTTAAGAGCAGTTCCCGTAACTTTAGTCTAGACTTTTGGGACAGTTAAAAAATCTATAATCTTAAATGTAGAAAAAAAATAGAACCCTTAAGATGTTCCGAGAATTTCAGGGAAGTACAAAGACCATCAAAGAATTTATAAAAACTTCAGAAATATTTCAGGAACTTCACAGACGCCCAGAAAATTTCTGGGAAATTTTTCATCACTAGAATTGAAAGCTTTAAGGAAGTTTCGAGAACAGCAAGACAGATCAGATAATCAAAGGGCAGTTCAAATAATTTCATGGAAATTTTAGGATACTTCAGCAAACCTCCGAGAGAATTTCTGGGACGTGATAAAAATTATATGAACATCCGGAAAACGGGAGAGTATTTTAAGGGTGTTTCATCATGGAGATTTCAACAACTTTAAAAAATGCGAAACTTTAGCTGAGTTGATTAGAGAATATCAACGAAGTTCTATTAATTAAAAAAAATCGAGAACTTTTAGCAAGCAGCGATATCTTTAAGAAATTCGAACTACACAGCTAAAAAAAGTAGTGTAAATTTCCGTTACTATGATGGACATAAATGGAGCGTCATATAGGGGAATTTACGTATTCTCGGCAACCTAAGCAGCGGCCTTCTTTCTATAGCCTTTTTCTCTAAGGAACGCACACATATGCAGTATTGGTTTGTTTACAATCTTTTGCTGCCAGCTGCTCTAACAATTTCAGTCGAAAGAATTGTCAAAAACTGTTTTGAAACGCTTTTACAAAGCTCCAATCTTCTCTAGTGAGAGCGAGTATTGTCGGCAACCAGTTTTTCTTCGGCAACCGTTCCATTTGAACTGTATGTAAATCTGTTGTTCTATTATCGGCAACACGAAATCAGCTACAATTTGTAGTGCGTGTGTTGCATTTCAAGAAAACCTTGCTAGATTGCTTTTTCTCAGTGGTAAAAATATAGTCAAAATGAAGCTGAAAGCATAAAGAATCGTTTGAATGCATTCAGCGAAGTGTTTTCGTAAGAAAATCCAGTGAAAATAGTGTTTCAATTTGTGTTGCCGAAAATAGTCTGTCATGCCGAAGCCGTCATTTTCCCTATCATACAAGTTTAGATTACAGATCGTGTAAATTTATGAGACATGCCATGCAATATTTCATATATTGTATGCAACTGTCCACTTTTGTTTGCAACTTTTCTTGCAAGCTGCTAGTTTACGTGAAAAGGAAGTTTACATGCTTCAATTTTAGCATGCATGGATATTTACATCGCCATTAAAATTCAGAATTTTTTGGTGTGTAGTTTCATGATATTCAGCAAAGTTCCTAGTACTTCGAGGATGATCAGATAGCTTCAGAATAATCCCATTAACTTAAGCAAATTTGCAGCAACTTACAAAGAATTCCGTGGAATTAAGAGTTATTCCAAGAATTCTATGATTGATTCGAAAACGTCAGAAAATTTTGGTACACACTAAAAAAATCTGAATTTTACTGGTGATGTAAACATCCATGCATGCAAACATTCATGCATGTAAACTTCCTTTTCACGTAAACTAGCAGCTTGCAAGAAATGTTGCAAACAAAGGTGGAAAGTTGCATACAATATATGGAATGTTGCATGACATGTCTCATAAATTTACACGATTTATAATGTAAATTTGTATGATTTATGACGCACCATTTATGTGCATCATAGTAACGGAAATTTACACTACTTTTTTTTAGCTGTGTATATATTAGAAAATTTGCCGGATTATTAAACAAATTTAGAGAACTTCAGGTAAGCATTGATTAAATAAGAAAACAAGAGAGCGTTTATAATGGTTAGAATACTTAAGGAAAATTGTCGTATCTTCAAGGCAAATCAATTAATTTCAGTAAAGTTGCGGTTTCTTAAAATATACTGATAAATTCAGGGCAGTCTGAAGAACTTTAAAGATAGTCAGTAATCGTTTAGGCAGTTTTGATAACACCAGGAAAGTCTAGACTATTGAAGAAGTTTTAAATTAGTGTCGATAATGTAATGGAAGTTTCATGAACTTCAGAAAAATCTTGAGAACTTCAGAGAAAATAATAGAACTATATTAATTATTTCATTCGAATTTCATGGAAATTGCGGAATCACAAAAGATACTCAAATTTAGAAAAACTTCGAAAACTTCACAGTGGTCTTCAGAAACATTTCGAGAACTTCATAGAAATCTATGGAGCTTAAGGTTAGATCCGCGAACTTTAGGAATTTTTATGAACATTAGCAAAATGCAGGAGCTTTTGAAAGCAGTGAAGTAAGTAAGCTCCGAAAATGGGAGGAATTTCGAGAGGAGTTCAGTTCCATTAGTTTCATAAAATTTGTGGGAAATTTAAACCACTTCCCAGATTTCAGAAAACTTCAGAGTCGTTAAAAAGTTAATTGAAGTCTTCGCATAAGTTCAGATGTTTACTGAAGCTTAAACATTTTTAAAACGGTTCAATTAAATTCAGCGCAGTACAACAAGCTTCATGAGAACGGCAAAAACTTTAGAGAAGTTTTGAGAATTTCAGAATAGAACAGAGAACCTCAGAGCAGTTCCGTTAACATTAGAGAAGTCACATAAATTTTAGAGAAGTTTAGAGAACTTCAGCGAATTGTAAATCCTTTAGAGAAGATCCAGGAGAAAACATTTAGGAAATTTTAGGAAGTCCTAAACAGTTCAGGGAAGCTTAAAAATTTGATGAGAAGTATTGTGAGTCTCAGGCTAGTTTCTCAAACTACAAAAAAAAACTTCAAGGTAGTTTCATTAACTTCATGAATAATTTGGGAACTTTTAAGTAGTTCTGAAAACCTTGGAATAGTCCAATCCATATTCAATGGAGATTTCCATTGAAATATTCCTCAAAATTTTGATGAAGCTATCCTCCGAATTCAATTTTCTTCAAGTTTTCCTTGGAATGACCTTGAAAATATCCACAATAAGAAACTGCTGATAAGCTAATATGCGATATAAGCAATAAGCTTGAAATGCGAAAAGAAGAAGAAAAAGAAAAAGAAGTAGAAGAAAAAGAAAAAGAAAAAGAAGTAGTAGTAGTAGTAGTAGTAGTAGTAGTAGTAGTAGTAGTAGTAGTAGTAGTAGTAGTAGTAGTAGTAGTAGTAGTAGTAGTAGTAGTAGTAGTAGTAGTAGTAGTAGTAGTTGAAGAAGAAGAAGAAGAAAAAGAAGAAGAAGAAGAAGAAGAAGAAGAAGAAGAAGAAGAAGAAGAAGAAGATCGACATTTCTGCGCCCAAACATAATTCTGTGGAGCTGGTTTCTCACGAGCAACCACAATGACATGCCTGGAATACAAATATACAATACAATTCATTGCCTCCATGTGACTCAATAGTATTGTTTATATTTCCAAGAAAGAGAAATCGGTTTTGAAAAATGATTTTGTTAAAATTTCAAGGATGGGTAGATGGAGATGAACTAGCCTACGGCTAAAATTTTTCTTTATAGATCCTAAAAAAACCTTCCCAGTCGAAAATCATTCGAATCAAGAGAAATTCTTGCTGCGTCTGAGATCTCGATGATCTGGATTGCATTTGCAAAATCTTGTCGAATCTAGAACGTTCCCTCAAAGCTTTCCATATTTTGTTTACCCAATGCTATTGACACCACTGGCACGTGCAATTACATTAAGCCTACAATTTCCAGTGCATCCAATCGACAATTGCTACTTCCCTGCATTTGTTTACTAGCCTGCATAAAATGCAATGCATCATGCACTTATCGTGAGCATCATCTTCATCGCTGCACTACACTGCGACACCTTGGCACGATATCAGCCCAAATGGATCACCACCAGGTTCCGATGGCAATTACTCACTGACACCCATTGCCGGTGGTCCACGTGGTTGGTCCGAGTTGGATTTGAGTATAAATATTGTAGTATCGATGGGCAGAAACAGCAGAACCTGTTGTAGCTTTCGTGTCAAACAGTAACAAATCGTTTACAATCCTACAAAATGAAAGCCTTCGTTGTTGCCTTCGGTGTCCTGTGCGCCTTGATGGTGGTGGTAAGTATTCGTATTTTGATTTTGTTAGAATATCTACATGTTTTGAAAATTCGTTTTGCTATCCTAGGACTACTGCCAAGCGGTGGATAACCATGATAAACTGGATCGCCATATGGAGGAGCTGGAGGATATGTTGAAGAACAGCATGCTGCCGGAGTATGAGGATTTCCCTCGGTTCCGTCGATCGGCTGAGGAAAATTCCAACCAGCAGCAGGGTGGTGGTGGTGGTGGTGGACCTGGCAAAGGAAAAGGACCAAAAGGAGGCCGTGGAGGACAAGGCGGACAAGGAGGACAAGGAGGGCAAGGACAGAGCCAGGACAGCCAAACTGGGCAATGATGTGGTGGCGAATTGAGCAATTCATCAAATGAGAGCTTTCAGTTTGCGTGTCCCACGAATTTCTTAGCTCAATTGGTAATGCACGGTCATAAAAATAATATTTGGTAATACATTTGTTTGAAATAAATTCATGCGATTAGCTGCATAGATCTGCATCACATCTTAGTGGTTTATCGTCAACAGTTACGCGTTTGGGGTGGCCTTTTCTTTGTATTGCCCGTTCAACTGAAAACCAGTGCGTCGATTTGATTCGCAGTACTTCCTCTCATGCTTCGCAAATGTAACTTCGCATTGCAACTTACTTGCGACTACGGATTAGTGATGCGTGTACACATATTAAGTGCAATACAACGTACGGGAAAAGCACGCACATCATGTCAAACGAATCTTTAATCGTTAATCGATTATTTTTTATCTTCTACTGCATGATGAACAAATTTCAGATTATGCTTTAAGGAAAAAAAAATCAGTCAAACAAAATGTAAAACGAAAATTTGCTGCAAAAAGTGATCAAAATAATGTTCATAATTATAGCTATGCCGCATACTGCATCGATCGAGTTGGTTCTGTACTCATTTACAACCCGCATGATAGTAAGTTTGAATGTTCTGTCGAAATGTGCTTAGTTCCGCTTAGTTTTCAGCGCTCAGCTCAACTCAGGCTAGACGTCTGAATCTTCTTCGATTTGTATGAAACTTTGTGTAGAGTAGTAAAATAGGGCAAGATGCACCACCGGGGAAAAATTACTCTTAGTAGATTTTTTAATACATTTTCAATGTATTTTCGTGGATTTATCATGCAGCATTGCTAGTTCAGATATTGAACTATCAATATTCCTTAACAGCTACTTAAACAACAGGTAAAAAAGTTATGTTAAAGGACCAAAAGTAATTTTCTCCCAGGGATGCATCTTACCCCATCTTACACTAATTGTTTGTTATGGGAAATGATTCGCAATAATGCTGAAATTCGGTCAATAGCGTTCTTGATTTTCTTTAGAAAATGTGCTACAATCCGATCGAAATGGCAACTGAGGCAAAGTTGTTGACATTTTTTTTTTGGCGTAGGACTACGTCGGTGATTTCTATTTGGGGGTACACTTTGTGAAAACCGAAAATGGAACATGTAACGAAATTTTGAAATATTTTGAACGTTAATAACTAAGCTGCCCCTGGACCAATTTCAATCATTTAATCACCAGTCGATCAGAAACATTTTTACACCTCGATAGCAATGCTTCTGACTTTTGATTTTCAACAAGAAACTATTGAAAAAGTGGTAAATGACAAGAATTGCCCAAAAGCGTCGAAATAACTAGCAAATCCACCAATTACGTACTTGCATATGCTGCTTCCCCAACACTGTCATCAGAGAGTCGTTAGTAGACGAAAGAAGTCGAAGTGGCAGTTGCCTCCGATCTACGGGCGTGTGCAAATAGGGAGGACACGAAATTCTCTTTAGAGTTGTAATCTTGTAACCAAACTTGGAAGCAGGGGTGAAAATGATTTTAATCGACTTTCTGTTTCGTTAATAACTCGACGGCAAACACATTCATTGATACGTTTGTTGTTCTGGATGATAGAAGATCATAGCAGAAATAGTGCGACATAGGTTAGTGAAGCCATGTTCATCAAAATCGATGAAGAGAATTCGACAGTGAACATGCATAAGGGCGTAAACGCGATGATCGATTCTCTTCGTAGATTTTCTCTTTTGTAATAACTCGCTAGATTTAACGTTTCTCGGTGCGTTTGTTGTTGCTTTTGATAGCCAATACAACCTTTTACATATCTGCATTTAACAAATTCTAGAATATTGTTTCGCTTAGCTGTAGAAATGCAAAGAGAAAATCTATCATCGCGTATTGACTTTCACCCCTCTGCTTCTAGGCACTGACGTCATAGCAAGAAAACTAGCACCGCACCACTTTTGGTTCTTGGCTTACACTCGCTGGTTGCAATTCAGCTGTTCGACATTTTCGAAAAACCACCAAAAAATATGAAATTACACTATTTTCACTACACTATTTAACGATTAATCGTAAAGATTTTTCCAGCTATTCGATTAAATTTTTATCGAATGTTCAATTATTCGAGCGCGTATCTGACATCCTTTCTTATTTCTACAAGTTTGATTTAGCGCAGTAGAGAAAATAAATAAAAGTACGAATTTATCTGAACAGGCATAGCGAAGAACCATGACGTGAAACGGGATCATAAATTCGCCGAAAAAAATTGTTAAGCGTCTTTCTGCTAAAGGCTAAGATTTTACTTTACCAACTTGTTGAGAGAACGAGTTTAACGAGAAAAAACTAAAAAGGGGAGGAGCTTTAGCTGGGTGGACATTGATATTCTGCGTCCTTTCAACCTGTCGCAGACACCAGTTCAACCCTTGTCCATCAGCAGGCGGGCCGAGACTCTTGCGAGTGTCCAACCATTGAACCGAAGAATATGGGATTGTCCGATCCAATTTGCTGATCCAGCTGCCTACACGTCATCATCATCTTCCAAAGGCTTTAAGCCTGTACTACCATCGGCCTTTTACAAGACCACCAAGATTTTCCAAAAGAGTTAAATTTCTGAACATGTCCCAACTAAAATTCATATCAAAAGGTTCTATTCAGGGCAATCATAGTCATACTAAAGAGTATCAACAGAGAGAACCCCACTGAAATTCCTATTCCTACACAAAACACAAGCTCCAGCTGCAGTTAACAAATAACTTGTATTATATAAGACCACGTAGTCCTACGTCAGTATTACGTACAACCCCATAGGGCTGTACCTAGCAGTTTTTTTTTTTAAATTAATTTTAAGTAAAACTTTCAAAAATTAAAAAAAAAAACCCAAAATGTTGATTTTTTTTGGAAAGAAGTTTCTGATAAATTCATAGTTCTGAAATGTTCAAAACCATGGACACTTGAACACTGACAAAAATCATAGAATAAGAACTTTTGGTTAAAAGTTGGTTAGAACATACTCTCTTTTGTGTATTTATTCACAAAAAATGATTTAATTGTATCAACAATTATTTTCTTAGTATAAATTACATGAAAAAATATTTTTACAACCATTTCAACAATTGTTATCAATATTTATTGTTCTACGATGTACAGTGTACCTCAAAATTGATCGCACACCCTAGAAGATTTTTTTTAATCATGGTGAATTGATGTATTTTTTTTTTTAAATCGTGGCTGGTGGTTAAACAGATATTTATTGATTTCTTGCTATAATTTTGGTCTTTATTGTAGGAGCCAGTATGAAGTTAGATTGTTAGATCATTTTGTCAAGCTTTTTGGTACCTCTATATATGCATTGAGATTAACATCCGAAGTCCCTTCTTTTTTACACATTCTGCACACAAAATAGCTCACCCCTCAAAGGATTTCCCGCCAATTTCTATGAATGGGGCGGGGCATTAAGAATCTTGTTGAAACTATAATGTCAAATATGGAACCAGAAGTAAAACTGCATATTTATGGCGACTTCAATCAACGAAACGCAGACTTTATTACAGACATTGAAAATGAATCATTTTTACTCCCGGTCGTAGGTGAAGACGAAGCATTACAATTATTATTCGACAAAATATCTTATTTTGGTCTTAATCAAATAAACCATGTAAAAAATCAACAAAACTCATATTTAGACCTTTTATTTACAAATTGTACTGAAGACTTCTGTGTGGATACATCATTAGCACCTTTATGGAAAAATGAAGTGTTTCACACAGCAATTGAATACTCAATCTTCGTACAAAATTCTTCTTCCTCCAGCGACTGGGAATACGAGGAAGTGCCGGAATACCGTAAAGCAAATTACGAAGAAGCCAAACGTAGACTATGTACAATAAATTGGCAAAATTTAATAAGTATTGAAGGAAATGTCGATACTGAAGTAGAAAAATTTCACTTAATTCTACAAAACCTAATCTTAGAAACTGTACCATCAAAAAAAAGAAGACGAACACAAAACAATAAACTACCCGCATGGTTCAATCCACAACTGAAAAATTTGAAGAATAAAAAACAGAAAGCTCATAAACTATACAAAAAAGAAAAAACTGAAACCAATTTGTGAAACTATCACAACTTATGCAACCAATTACATACAGCCACCAACTCTGCATATGGGGACTATAACCGCAAAGTCGAAAATGAAGTCAAATCATGTCCTAAGAACTTTTTTAATTATGTAAACACGAAATTAAAAAGCAGCAATTTTCCTTCGCGAATGAATTTGGATGCAAATGTAGGTGAGAATTCTTCTGAAATTTGCAGTCTCTTTGCAAATTTCTTCCAAGAAGTATACACCACATTTTCCGAAGAAGATCGTGACCGCGATTTCTTTGCATTCATTCCTGAAATTTCTAAAAACATCTCTGTCAACCAACTTTCTCAACATGAAGTCCTCAATGCACTAAAAAACTTAAACGCGTCGAAAGGGTCTGGACCTGACGGCATCGCACCCATATTTTTGAAAAACCTTTCTGAAGAACTCGCATTTCCTCTAGAGCGTCTTTTCAACATGTCTCTGAAAAATGGAAAATTCCCTGAAATTTGGAAATCATCTTATTTGGTACCTATTTTCAAATCAGGTGCAAAATCAGACATTCGAAATTATCGTGGAATTGCTATTATTTCTTGCATTCCAAAACTTTTTGAATCAATCGTAAACGGCAATATTTTTCAGCAGGTGAAAAATCTAATTACAAGTAAACAGCACGGCTTTTTTTAAAGGTCGTTCAACTACCTCTAATCTTCTAGAATATGTATCTTTCATTATTAAAGCGTTGGACAGTGGCAAGCACGTTGAAGCGCTATACACCGACTTCAGTAAAGCATTTGACCGCATCGACATACCATTATTAATCCTCAAATTGCAGAAAATAGGAATGGAGCCTGGACTTTTGAATTGGCTTCAATCATACCTAACACATCGTAAACAAATAGTTCGCTTTCAAAATAAACTTTCAGAACCCATTTCAGTCACCTCTGGGGTACCCCAGGGTTCTCATTTAGGCCCACTTCTTTTTATTTTGCACATAAACGACATTTCCTACATACTTAAAAAAATAAAATTGCTTGTATATGCAGACGACATGAAGCTCTTTATGGAAATAAGTAATTCTAGCGATGCAGAAG